ATAAGTCTGAAATAGTTGAAAGGTTCAAAGAATTTCAGAGTGAAGTGGAAAAATCATCGTGACAAGAAAATAAGGTTTCTACGATCTGATCGCGGAGACAAATATTTGAGTTACGAGTTTGGTCTTCAATTAAAACAATGTGGAATACTTTCACAAATTCATGCCACCTGGAACACCACATCATAATGGTGTGTCCGAACGTCATAACCGTACTTTATTGGATATAGTACAATCTATGATGTTTCTTACCGATTTACCAATATCGTTTTGGGATCATGCATTAGAGACAGCTGCATTCACGTTAAATAGGGCACCATCTAAATCCGTTGAGACGACACTATATGAACTGTGGTTTAGCAAGAAACCAAAGTTGTCGTTTCTTAATGTTTGGGGCTGCGATGCTTATGTGAAAAAGTTTCATCCTGATAAGCTCAAACCCAAATCGGAGAAGTGCGTCTTCATAGAATACCCAAAGGAAATTGTTGGGTACACCTTCTATCACAGATCCGAAGGCAAAACATTCGTTGCTAATAAATGGATCCTTTCTAGAGAAGGAGTTTCTCTCGAAAGAAGTGAATGGGAGGAAAGTAGAACTTGATGAGGTAATTGTACCTTCTCCCTTATTGGAAAGTAGTTCATCACAGAAATCTGTTCCTGTGACTACTACACCAATTAGTGAGGAAGTTAATGATGATGATCATGTAACTTTAGATCAAGTTACTACCGAATCTCGTAGGTAAACCAGAGTGAGATCCGCACCAGAGTGGTACAGTAATCCTGTTCTGGAAGTCATGTAACTAGACCATGATGAACCTATGAACTATGAGGAAGCGATGATGAGCCCAGATTCCGCGAAATGGCTTGAGGCCATGAAATCTGAGATGAGATCCATGTATGAGAACAAAGTGTGGACTTTGGTGGAGTTGCCCGATGATCGGCAAGCCATAGAAAATAAATGGATCTTCAAGAGGAAGACGGACGCTGATAGTAGTGTTACTATCTACAAAGCTAGACTTGTCGAAAAAGGTTTTTGACAAAGTTCAAGATGTTGAATACAATGAGATTTTCTCACTCGTATCGATGCTTAAAAGTCTGTCCGAATCATGTTAGCAATTGCCGTATTTTATGAAATCTGGCAAATGGATAAACAAAACTGCATTCCTTAATGGAGTTATTAAAGAAGAGTTGTATGTGATGCAACCAAGAGGTTTTGTCGATCCTAAAGGTGTTAATAAAATGTGCATCTATGGACTGGTGCAAGCATCTCGGAGTTGGAATATACGCTTTGATAAGTTGATCAAAGCATATAGTTTATACAGACTTGCAGTGAAGCCTGTATTTACTAGAAAGTGAGTGGGAGCACTACAGCATTTCTGATAAGTATATGTGAATGACGTATTGTAGATCGGAAGTAATGTAGAATTATTCTGCAAAGCATAAAGGAGTGTTTGAAAGGAGTTTTTCAAAGAAAGACCTCGGTGAAGCTGCTTACATATTGAGCATCAAGATCTATAGAGATAGATCAAAACGCTTGATAAGTTTTTTCAATGAGTACATACCTTGACAAGATTTTGAAGTAGTTCAAAATGGAATAGTCAAAGAAAGAGTTTTTGCCTGTGTTACAAGGTGTGAAATTGAGTAAGACTCAAAACCCGACCACGGCAGAAGATAGAAAGAGAATGAAAGTCATTCCCTATGCCTTGGCCACAGGTTCTATAAAGTATGCCATGTTGTGTACCAGATCTATTGTATACCCTGCACTGAGTTTGGCAAGGGAGTACAATAGTGATCTAGGAGTAGATCACTGGACAGCGGTCAAAATTATCCTTAGTGGAATAAGGATATATTTCTCGATTATGGAAGTGACAAAAGGTTCGTCGTAAAGGGTTACGTCGATGCAAGTTTTGACACCAATCTGGATGACTCTAAGTCTCGATCTAGATACATATTGAAAGTGGGAGCAATTAGCTAGAGTAGCTCCGTGCAGAGCATTGTAGACATAAAAAATTGCAAAATACATAACGGATCTGAATGTAAAAGACCCGTTGACTAAGATTCTCTCACAAGCAAAGCATGATCACACCTAAGTACTCTTTGGGTGTTAATCACATAGCGATGTGAACTAGATTACTGAATCTAGTAAACCCTTTTGATGTTGGTCACATGGCGATGTGAACTATGGGTGTTAATCACATGATGATGTGAACTATCGATGTGAATCACATGGTGATGTGATCTAGATTATTGACTCTAGTGCAAGTGGAAGACTGAAGGAAATATGCCCTAGAGGCAATAATAAAGTTATTATTTATTTCCTTATATCATGATAAATGTTTATTATTCATGCTAGAATTGTATTAACCGGAAACATAATACATGTGTGAATATATAGACAAACAGAGTGTCACTAGTATGCCTCTACTTGACTAGCTTGTTAATCAAAGATGGTTATATTTCCTAACCATGGACAAAGAGTTGTTATTTGATTAACGGGATCACATCATTAGTTGAATGATCTGATTGACATGACCCATTCCGTTAGCTTAGCACCCGATCGTTTAGTATGTTGCTATTGCTTCCTTCATGACGTATACATGTTCCTATGACTATGAGATTATGCAACTCCCGTTTACCGGAGGAACACTTTATGTGCTACCAAACGTCACAACGTAACTGGGTGATTATAAAGGTGCTCTACAGGTGTCTCCAAAGGTACTTGTTGAGTTGGCGTATTTTGAGATTAGGATTTGCCACTCCGAATGTCGGAGAGGTATCTCTGGGCCCTCTCGGTAATGCACATCACTTAAGCCTTGCAAGCATTGCAACTAATGAGTTAGTTGTGAGATGATGTATTACGGAACGAGTAAAGAGACTTGCCGGTAACGAGATTGAACTAGGTATTGGATACCGACGATCGAATCTCGGGCAAGTAACATACCGATGACAAAAGGAACAACGTATGTTGTTATGCGGTCTGACCGATAAAGATCTTCGTAGAATATGTAGGAACCAATATGGGCATCCAGGTCCCGCTATTGGTTATTGGCCGGAGATGTGTCTCGGTCATGTCTACATTGTTCTCGAACCGTAGGGTCCGCACGCTTAAGGTTTCGATGACAGTTTTATTATGAGTTTATGAGTTTTGATGTACCGAAGGAGTTCGGAGTCCCGGATGAGATCGGGGACATGACGAGGAGTCTCGAAATGGTCGAGACGTAAAGATCTATATATTGGACGACTATATTCGGAGTTCGGAAAGGTTCCGAGTGATTCGGGTATTTATCGGAGTACCGGAGAGTTACGGGAATTCGCCGGGGAGAAGTATTGGGCCTTATTGGGCCATACGGGAAAGAGAGAGGGGCTGCCTAGGGCAGACCGCGCGCCCTCCCATGGCCTAGTCCGAATTGGACTAGGGGGAGGGGCCGCACCCCCTCCTTCCTTCCCTTCTCTCTTCCCTTCCTTGTCTCCTACTCCTAATACATGGAAGGACTCCTAGTTGGACTAGGAAAGGGGGAATCCTACTCCCGGTGGGAGTAGGACTCCCCTAGGACGCGCCATAGAGAGGGTCGGCCCTCCCCTCCTCCACTCCTTTATATACGGGGGCAGGGGGCACCCCATGGACACACAAGTTGATCATCGTGATCATTCCTTAGCCGTGTGCGGTGCCCCCCTCCACGATATTACACCTCGGTCATATTGTAGCGGTGCTTAGGCGAAGCCCTGCGACGGTTGAACATCAAGATCGTCACCACGCCGTCGTGCTGACGAAACTCCTCCCCGTACCTCTGCTGGATCGGAGTTCGGGGTGCGTCATCGAGTTGTATGTGTGTCAAGAACTCGGAGGTGCCGGAGTAACGGTGCTTGGATCGGTTGGACCGGAAAGACGTACGACTACTTCCTCTACGTTGCGTCAACGCTTCCGCTTCGGTCTACGAGGGTACGTAGACAACACTCTCTCATCTCGTTGCTATGCATCACCATGATCTTGCGTGTGCGTAGGAAATTTTTTGAAATTGCTACGTTCCCCAACAGTCACCTTCCACCTCAGCATAATATCCACACAGGCATGCCAAGTCAGCCTGACATGTGAGGCCAACCCGTCAGTTTTGCTGTTAGACGCTGCTCAGTTTTGAATTAGTGCGATTTGTTACTCACTTGCCCCGGAGTCGGTGGTTTTTTGTGATTTTTAGCAAAAGTGGTAGTTTTGAAGTACCCTAGTCATAAATGTGGTGGCTTTGAGTAATTTATTCTCAGGAAAACAAGGTATTATCTCAACGAATTCTCTGGTAGGAACTTTTCTAGGACTGCACAGGAGTTGTTTAATCTCACACACTCCAACCTTAGAGTAACTATTGAGAGGGCATTTGGAGCTTTGAAGAATAGGTTTAAGATCTTGGATCAGAAGTCGTTTAATCTCAGACACTCCAGCCTTAGAGTAACTGTTGAGAGAGCATTTGAAGCTATGAAGAATAGGTTTAAGATCCTGAATCAGAAGCCATTTCACCCATACTCCATTCAGGTTAAGCTAGTTCTTGCTTGTTGCATTTTGCATAACTGGATCCTCCAGTGGGGCTTTAATGAACACGTGCCTGAGGAGGAAGAGGTCGAGCCTGGCAATGTTGTTAGCTCCAGCCATGGTGTGGAGGCATTTGACAATGACGCTTGAAAGAAGAAAAGGTTGAAGTAGGTAGAGGCGATGTGGCTTAACAGAGGTCAGTGCAGGATTTGAAGAAGATGAAAGAAGAAAATGAAAGAAGAAGAAAAATTATGAGCAGGAAAAATACACTGGTTTTGGAATCAAAAACAGCGGACCAAACAGGGCATCAATATTTTTGTTTGCAAATTCCAGTGGACAACGAACAAAAGCCACATGTTAAACATTACCAGTAATGCATTACGACAGGCAGGCTTCAGACATGAGTACAGCATTAACCATAAGATGTATAAACAATAACTCTTTATCCAACACTGGATCACCAACTGCCTCGTCAGTCATGGCTTCAGTTGACAGTCTTACTCTCGTTGGCCATGCATGTTGTTGATAGAAGAGTAATTGCACATGCCAGATTAAATACCCTTGGACGAGGAGCACGCTGTCGATGCAGGTAACCCATGGCTGACTCAAGTGACTGCTTAACTCTCTGTTTCATCTGGGGCAAATTTCTGGGTAACAGCTGTTCTCCCAAAATCTGGGGCAAGCTTTTGGGTAACATCTGTTCTTGCAATTGTCGTACGGGTAGAAACTGCATTGGGAATAAAGAATTATATGATTCATTTGAATACTCACAGGCCCTGGCAAACAGCCACAAACCTATTTGCTTCTACAGATTTTCTGACAGGAAGGTGTCATCCAAAAAGTCAACGAACATGCAAAAGCATAAACATCGACCATAGTACTTAAACAATTAAAAAGAACTTGTACGAGCACACCATGGAAAAAAAGAGTAAAACGAATGGCGTGCATATGTAATGAAAGAGAATCGCAAATAACAGGTCAAGTAAGTTTTCGTAAAACAAAATGGTCAAAGTAAGAATATGAATATGCCTTTACAAACTAAGAACATCATGATTACACATATACAATGGAGCACGACCAATGTGCAAGGGGTATCAAAATCATTGTCACAAACACCACTCTGATTGTAGTATGAGTTGTTTACTACTGAAGAGCAAATTTAAAAAGGTGGTGCAGCAACTAGAAGGAAAAGGAGCTATCTACAAATCTGGATTTTGCTATCAACAAGCACAACCAATAGTAAAGATAGTCATGCATGACAGTATTTCAACACATTTGATGTGATCTAAGTCATGCTCCATGCTAGTATGCAATTGCTACAAATGCCACCGCTTCATTTCACTGACTCCTGCACATTTAGGTTTCCAAATGTGAATGCCAAACAAAAATAGGAAACTAACCTCTTCAACAAGAATGACTCCAGTCTTTTCTGATTCATTATAACACACTCTGGCAAAGTTCCTTATTTTCACACGATTGAAGTATTCTTGCATAAGCCACTACAGATTATGGCCAAAAAGAAGTGTAAAGTCCAGCTACAAGGTAACTAGGTAAAGGAAGATGCAGTTCAGCATGAGTCTTACCTGGTCACGGAGATGTAGATGCTTTTCTAATTCTGAACTCATACGAGAGTTGATCTCCTCCAAAGCTACACTTTCAAACTGCAAATTTGAAAAAAAGATAAAGACAAGGTGTAAAACCTAACATGCCACAAATGCAAGTAACATCTGAAACAAAATAGACACCAGCCACTCCACTGGAAACTGGCCAGCTTCTAGCAACAGTAGCAACTAGGGTGTTTCAATTTTGGCAACATTTCACCTCAAGATAAAATCTGTCTCGCTAAATTATATAAATTTGGATACAAAGTTAAAAAATCAAGAGAAGCATCAGATTAAACATGACAGCACTGATGGTCATGTGGTGTTGCTCTTTATGTAAGGTCTTGAGGTTGAACCCCAACTCGCCGTAAATTTTTCCAGTGAATTCGTCCTTCTCAGTGAAGGTCCCACAAAAGCAAGGCCAGAATGAGGCAAATCTAGTCATGTGCACATTCACCACAAGGCTGGCAGTGAACGAATATTTTTTAAGATGATCATTTTTAATAAACTTTTGAACAAAAATGGAAATAAAATTTCAAAATCCATGAAATTTGGTGTTTCAACTAAACTTCCAAGAAACAATAGCCCAAAAGTTTTCTCAATGGTCTCACCGGAAAACATAATTGTTGGAGAGGAATTTCTAATTTGACATTTTCAAAGCATAAAGCCAACGTGAAGATTATGAACATTTAAAGCCACTTGGGCACTATTTTGGTACTACAGCCTTTCAAAACAGAGTTTATGCATATACCAGGCATAAAATCCCACAGCTTTTAATTCATATCTGGAAAATTAATACATGAGGCTGTTCAGTATTTTCTTCCGACAAATCGATATCTTATGTCACATAGATATCTAAGGATGGCGATTTTACCATGGACATGGATACCCGTGGGCACTAAACCAGAGTGGGCAGGTTTCGGGTACATTTTTTACCTCATGGGCAGCGCCCAAACCAAACGCGACTAATCATGGGTAGGACCATGGGCAGAGCCCACGCAACAGGCCAACGTCCCTCCAAGGGCCTCGACTGGCCGACTCCAGACTCCAGCAAGCAAGCAGCCTCCGCCAGCAGCCAGTCCCAGGTCCCTGAAGGCTTGCCCTCTGCAGCTCTCAGGTCACGGCTGCTCGTAGCCTCGCGCTCAGCGCTCACCATTGGAGAAGCTCCTCGAGATCCATCGTCAGGTAAAAACAAATCATTGTATTGTTTGATGAAATTTGTCCATACCACTGCCACTAATTGCTAATTTGTTTGATGAAATTCTAGAAGGAATCTGACTCTTTTTTTACTTGTGTTCTTGTAATGTAGATGAAGAACAAGGGTGTTAGCATATTTGTATTGTGGGAAAAGGCTGAAAGGGCAAACAAAACAACTTCCACATTAGCACCAAATGATCATTCTGTTGAGGTTGAGACTTGAGAGCAAACTGCAGCTAGCACAAGTGCCAGTAGCACATGATGATGATGGTGTATCAACTGAGAGAGAGAGGCTCTGCGACCCCAATTGTAGAAGATAATGAAGCAACTGATGAAGAGGGTGAACCAGTGCCCCAAATCAAAGCAGATTTGGTAGCTCTGGAACGTGATCCTGGCAAGCGGCTTCCCATTTCAAGTTATGATGTCAAAGACCAGGAAAGTGTCAGAAGGCGATACATTGAGTTGGGAGCATCTCAACCAAACGATCATAAATTGGAGATTAGAGATATAAGTGGGCATCCCCATCAATTTTGCCCTGCTTGGTTTAAGGAATACAAGTGGCTTGAGTATAGTGTGCAAGAAGAGGCTGTTTTCTGCTTTGTCCGCTATTTGTTCAAGGATAAAAGAAAATGTCCCGGTGGAGACACATTTGTGGAGGGTGGGTTTAGGAACAGGAACATGAAAGCAAGATTGAAGAGGCATATTGGTGTCATCACTAGTGTTCACGCTAAAGCTCAAGAGAAATATCTACAACATCATTTAGAGGGCATATTGGTGTCATCACTAGTCTTCACAACACCTACAACATCATTTTGTGATGTCTATTGCTATTTGTTCAAGGATAAAAGAAAATGTCCCGATGGAGACACGCTTGTGGAGGGTGGGTTTAGGAACTGGAACATGAAAGCAAGTGTTCATGCTAAAGCTCAAGAGAAATATGATATCTTCACAACACCTACAGCATCATTTTGTGATGTCTATTGCTTCAAACACCACACAGTACAAGGCTCTGCATAGTGCTTGAGGTTTCTGTTGCATCAAGGTTTGGCATTTAGAGGGAATGATGGAAGTGAAGACTCACTAAATAGAGGAAATTTCCTTGAGCTTTTTAAATTGGCTACCAGGAAATTTTGTGTTGAGAAATATGATAGCTTCACAACACCTACAGCATCATTTTGTGATGTCTATTACTTCAGACACCACACAGTACAAGGATCTACATAGTGCTTGAGATTTCTGTTGCGTCAAGGCTTGGCATTTAGAGGGCATGATGGAAGTGAAGACTCACTAAATAAAGGAAATTTCTTTGAGCTTTTAAATTGGCTACCAGGAAATTTTGAAAGAGGTCGACAATTGGTGCTCATTCTTCCGGTAGCCACTGCTAGTATTGAAAGGGTATTTTCCTCAATGAAAATGTGAAGAATCAACTAAGGAACAAAATGGGTGATGAATATTTGAACAATTGCTTGGTTACATTTGTCGTGAGAGAATTCTTCAAGCAAGAGAAAGATGAGGATGTCATCAATCTATTCCAAAAAGGGGATCGTAGAGTTGTATTGTAATTTCCTTTGTTGTTTGTAATCCTTCTTAGTTGTTATATTGCCACAATGATATTTTGCTACAATTATCAGTATATTGTCATTGACTCATTGGTGTTGCTATCTTACTGCACATATTGTCCTATCTAGTAGATATTTATATTGCATTGCAAAAGAAAATTACAATGAATACCAAGCAGCAAATTCCTGGCTCCGCCACTGGGTAGGGCATGGACATAATTCTATGCATGTGGGGCAATATTCTTTGATCCATATGCACTATCCTTTCCAGCATCATAATTTTTCTCTCGAGAAGAGCAAAGAAGAATTCACCATTCTAACTTACTCCACCGTCTTCTTGAGTTGTGCTATATCATTTTGTGAGAATCTTTGATGTTCTGCTATGCCCTTTGTGAGGACTTTCCAATGAGAATTAATGTGTTGTGCACTTGTGATTATTAATATTGTCAGAAGTGCTAATCTCATAATTGGTATGTGTTTTTGCTGTTTCCTGAGGTATTAACTATATACATAGAGAGGACCCAATGGATATTCACACCCGATGGATATTCATCAGGTTTGGACATGAGCATGATTTCCTGCCCATGGGTTTTTTCGTGGGCGGGCAGAGAATGTGTTTATGGATTTGGGTATGAATCCGGTACCGCTTGACGACCTGACCCGAACCCAGCTCATTGTGATCCTTACTTATGTCACCATAATTATTTAGACCATGCTGGAAACATGCCTGGTATATGCATAACGTTTGAAAATACCTCCACTAACACATCCGCAACCTTTTAGCAATACAGATCATACACCAAAATTTAGGGCTTATGGCAACTCCAACGCGGATCACCAAATCGCCCGCAAATGTCTGGAGAGGGTGGTCTGGACATTTTTTGCCATCCAACGATGGTCACCAAAAATCCCACAAACCGGTGACAAATGAAGGGGAGGTGGGGGTCCAACCGACCGCCATGTTGAACTGCGACACCTCCGGCCCACTCAGAAACCCCATTCGGAGCCCATTTTCCCCCACTCCATCGCTCCCCGTGTGCTCTCTATCCGCACCCTCGATGACCGACGCCGCCAATGTACCACCTCGGTTGCCGCCCATGCCCAGTCAGACCTCCGCCTCCACCCAGGCGCCTTCCCACCATGGACTACGCAGCCACTCCACCCCGGATCCGGCTGAAGCCCTGGTATCCTCCGCCCCCGACGATACCAACGCCGTCCATGGCAAACACCATGCCCGGCAAGTGTTCGGCCAAATGCCATTGCCAAAAAAATAGGCATTCTCATTGTTTACTTTGAGAAATGTTTTGAGCAAACGCGATGGATTTGGACAAGTACTTCTACAACGAGCTCATGGAGATGATGAAGGCGGTTCTTGCAGATGCGCTGTGTGAGGGGGAGCATGTTCTCAGCTACAAGGAATCAATAAAGGGACATTGAGTAAACGCGATGGATTTGGACAAGTACTTCTACAACGAGCTCATGGAGATGATGAAGGCGGTTCTTGCAGATGCGCTGTGTGAGGGGGAGCATGTTCTCAACTACAAGGAATCAATAAAGGGACATCGAGTATTGAATCATTGAATCAGATAGGGCACAAGGGCATCTGATGTTGGTCGGCGACTACTTTGCCCCTGATGCGCTATTCAAGCCCTATTTCCGCCGTCAATTTTGAATGCAGTGATAAGTGTTTGATCGCCTCTACCATGGTGTCCGGGCCTATGATGATTCCTTCAAACCGAACAAGGATGTCGTTGGAAACACTGGGTTCTTTGGTTAACAAAAGCGCATGGCTGCAGTGAGGATGCTTGCCTATGGCACGGACACATATTCATGGGACAAGTACCTCCAGATGTCTGAAAGCACATGCCTTTAAGTGATGGTCAGATTTGCTGCTACAGTGGTGAAGGTGTTTGGACCGGAGTACTTGAGAGAACCAACTCCCACATACAGGGCAAGGCTCATAGCACTTGGAGAATCAAAAGGGTTTCCAGGTATGCTCGGGTTCCTCCCACAGGCACAGCAAGGCTCATGGCGCTTGGAAAATCAAGAGGGTCCCCAGGTATGCTCAGGTCCATGGATTGCATGCACACAAAATGGAAGAATTGCCATGTGCTCAACAACGGCAATAACAAGGCCATTGCGAAAGGCCCATTATCATTCTTGAAGCAGTTGCATCACATGACCTCTGGATTTGGCACTCTTTCTTTGGTATGCTTGGGTCTCAACATCAACATGCTATAGTGATCTCCATTGTTTGCAAGGTTGTGTGCGGGCGAAGCTCTTGAGTGCAACTATACCATCAATGGTTATGACTACAACATGGGGTACTATCTTTGTGCTGGTATCTATCCTCCGTGGACGACTTTCGTCAAGACCATCTTCGAACCAAGGGGTAACAAAAAATGTCACTTTGCCCGAAGACAAAAGCTGCTCGAAAGGGTGTCGAGAGGGCATTTGGAGTGCTACAAGCCTGTTTTACAGTTGTTCACTGACCTGCTAAAGTATGGGATCCAGAGACATAGTGAGAGGTGATGACAGCTTGTGTGATCATGCACAACATGATTGTGGAGGATGAGGGTGATTGAGTTCGCCATGGTCCGGATTTTCAAAACGTGGGTGATCCTATCCAGCTTCCTGCGTAGAATCCGGTGACATTTGAGGATTTTCTCCAAAAGCATCATCAGATTCGCAATGAGGAACTCACGAGCAGCTGTAGAATGATCTGGTTGAGCATCTTTGGGCGTTTCATATGGACAATTAGAACATCTATCCGACTAAGTTGAATTCCACCTTAGGCCACGTTCGCCTCAGAGGATTATAAACCATAGGAAAGTAAAAATGTGTAGGAACAGGGATTCCTTGTAAGTACAATACGAAGGAATTGAAACAGAGGAAAGAAACAATGGCTGTGCGTTCGGAATATCGGATGGGCCACCGGAGGCTGTACTAGTACTAATCACGCAGCAGCAGTAGCTATGAGAATTTTTTATTCACATAGTCATTCTTCTCTCACACCTCAACCCCATGGCAGTATATTTTACTCAGCTCGTTAGGACGGCAGCCTCGGGCTTCCGCCCAAAAAAGTGGTCAGAGTAGATGTGTTTATTCCCATGGAATCAACACTGTTACGAATCATTTCCTCTGATCTACTGTAGCAGATTCCTTTGAAAAGAACGCAGCAAAGGAAAAGGAAACCGTGAAACTCAGATGCGTAGAAATCCTGTGAAGCGAACGGACCCCTATTCCATGCTATTTCCATAGGATTCTTCTTCCTTATTCTTCAGCAAGCCCCTTCCAGCACCAGGCAGGTGTCAGGCTCTATTTGAACTATTTTATTTCAAAACTTTATGTTTGGGTTGTAATATTTTATTTGAATTATTGTTGCATTGGAATATTTATCTTCCAATTGCTTAACAATTGTGCTACTTATCTTTGATTGTTTAGAGTACGCCGGGCATGGAAAAAAACTGGGAGCGGACATTTTGGTGCCTACGGTTGGATGGCCTCTGTCCCCATCGCTGCCCGCGAACATTTGATGAGGTCCGTTTTGGTGATCCGAGTTGGAGTTGCCCTTGGGGTATCTAAATTTGGATAATCTTCTACTCACAGCCAGTGTTGTGTTCAACATCGATGGCCAACTCGTGATTCAAGCCCATTTGATAGTATCCATGCTTCAACATCACATGCTCCTTTAACTTCTATTCCCCTCTATCTTAAGACTAATTCGGGTATTTGTGACCCTATTGCCATTTCATAGTCTAAGACTTGGTCTTTTGGGAAAAGAGAAGCAAATCAAGGAAAGGCCAACTTAGATTTAGTGGTTCATCTGGACTATGCTTACAGTTGACAACATCACATGTTCATCACAATTTGAGCTGCTTTGCTTTACTCATTATTTTTAGATTATCTGATATTCATTAACCAAATGTTGCTTCGGTCATTAATTCCTTTTTCTGGGAGAGACACTCACACCCTAAGGGCAACTCCAACGCGGATCACCAAAACGGACCTCCCCGAATGTTCGTGGGCAGCGATAGGATCTCACAATTTGAGCTGCTTTGCTTCAATCATTATTTTCAGATTATCAGATATTCATGAACCGGTCATTAATTTTTTTTCTGGGAGAGACACTAACACCTAGGCCATACCCAGCGCTGAAGGCTTCCACAGGAGTGGGGCTTGGGGAAGGAAGCATCTAGACAGTTTCACCCTTGCAAAATTTGCAAAGAGGATGGCACAAAACCAGGGCCTCCATGACAACGGTGGAGACACTACCACTGTATTAGGCCACCATTCTAACCTTCACGGGTAAGGATACATGTTATGTGGAAATACTTATGTTCACCGTATGGAATAGCATTATTTTCAGTCTACTTTAATTTAGAACTGCGTTAAGATGTATGTCCTGATACTCTAATTATCAAGACAAAGATTAATGCTAATCTAACCTCAGGCATGCTGCTGCTTGTGGAAGTTGTGTCCAATTCACTCACATATCTCTTTAAAAGTTCCATATGACCCTGTCAAAAGAGAGTAACTATATATAACTTGAATAAATTGGCAGCTGTCTTCAGAATAAGAAGAAAAAGGTGACAGAAACCTTTAAACCAAGTTGTAGCTCATAATCATCCAGCTCATCAAACCATCTAGTTGACTCTTTAATCCGTTCTAAAACTTCCTCGGGGTTACTATTCCACTGCAAAATGTTCAAACTGAATACAGCAAGTTCAATCCAGGAAAGCACAAATGATAAAACTGGCATGCACCTTGATAAAGTCAAGTTGCAGAAGGGCTTTGCGGTACGCATAATATCTTCGAACACCATGCAATGTGTTTAGAAGTATATCTTTGTCCTGTAAAAACGATATTTCAAAGATAAAACTATTGTAACAACAACGCAGATTCTTAGAACATCACAGATTCATATTTATAATCTAATCTCTCCACGAGCAAAAAAGGTATGCAAAGTTAATTCCACAAGAAATTAAAAACTGAATGTACCAAAACATTTGAATGACCCAGAACTAAAACACTAATCACCTGTGAAAGAAATGGTTCATCACAATAAAAGCATTACAGAAGAATATGCTGGAACAGAATCTGGCATAACATGTCACACTGAACACTTAGCCTGGCAGAAAGTAACAATGGAAGGACAAAATCAAACATAGCACCAATCAAATGACAGTACAAAGGAACAGGCAAATTTTCATTGGCATAGTGTACTTGACTTTTATGCCAATATAATCAGTTACGTTCCACCATAACGATAAATATTATCTTGCTGATATGCAAAGTCAAAATAAAACAACCATCGCATGGGATGAAAACAAACCACTACTACCAGTAATAATACCTATTTCTATGTTCTTTTTAAGCCAGCGACATTTTATGGCAGCCAATCTTTGGAGGCACATTTCAGAACACCAATCTTTGAGTTCATCCTTCTCTCATTTCAAGCAGATCAACTACTGAACTAAAATTGATCGTACCTCATTAACCATGCCATATTGATCAGTTCTATTGCAGATCCAATCGATGGTACCTCATTAACCACACCATATGGATCAGTTTTATTGCAGACCCCTGAGTCATGGCTAAGTGCTTAGAGGAAAACCAAAACAAAAGGCCCAACGGCACCTGATGCAAGCATATATTCTGTGACGACTGAGTTGGTTGCGGCAGCAGTAGGCTGATCCGCCTTCACTTTGGATGGATTCAGTGGACAGGTTGTCTATTTGTATGTGCATGCATGTGCCATAGGCAATCCACTATGGGAGATGGAATCATCTGCCTACTGTCTTATTCATGTTGGGTAATGATACGAATCTATGTGGCTTCATGGTCAGTTGGAATTTTACATGAACTCTAAGAGTAATTATTAGATAAATGCATCAGGGAGAGAGGCAGAGTTAATATTCGAAACGGTTATCAACAATCATGCATTAAGATGAGGCTTGGCACATAAATGCTCACATGGATTTGCAAATCAATATCATGACACCAGAAATTAGAAGTTTAGGCAGCCCTCACATCTACGCTATGTAAACAAGTTCAGGCAGCATGCCTCATATTTATGCTGACTTTATATAATCGTAACAACATATTTAGTGTATTAATATGTCAACAGACAATTATACATCTCAAGCGATCAGCAAGCAAGAAGCGAGTGCAAAAGGAACAAATTCTGCTACAAACACATACATTCTTACGCTGGATGTGATTGAACTCATCCTCATTCAAGACACGGCGTGGTGATCCATCATCAACCAAACTTTCTTTACTTCCATCAACATCATCAACAACCACAGAATACTGCAAGATGAAGGCTCCATTTCAGTATAGAATAGAACATGATTATAAGAGAACTAAGCTTCTCTTCAAAACAGATATAGAAATTAGAAAGAGTAAGAGAAGCCCTTCGCAATTCACATATAGGCCCAAACCAATCACTAATTCTCCCTCCTCAATTTGAAGAGCTCGTGCTCAAATGACCTTAGTAAGTACCATTCAAATCTTTCTCAAGTTTCCACAACCTATGTCTACGACTTCCCCATTTTCAGCCTAAATGTAGAAGAGTAGGAGATGCAATGCATAACGTTCCACTCATTCACTTGTTCATTCAGTCATTACTGGCATGCTTGGTTAGCTACCAATTTGGCAATGCCAAAAATTAGCAACTTTATGTGAGGTTGGCAAGAAATGGCATGTCAAATTTTGGCATCAAACCAAGGATGCTCTAGGTAACATGATGTGTGTCTCAAGCGATATCTAGTATAAAGAGTTAATCCAAGCTGCTCTAGGTAACATGATGTGTGTCTCAAGCGATATCTCAAAAATGAAGAAAAGAATGATGCCTTCATATGAAACCCCAGGAGATCATTTGGCCATGAACTCATGCTCAGCATAATCATTTTTTGCAGTTAGCATGATAAATGTATAGGTGCGCTATCCAAAGGGTATGCTTCGTTTGCTACCAGTATTTGGCTAGCGATTAATTAGCAAGCCAAATTTTGGTAATGCCAAAACTTGCCAAAAAAATTGGCAACTTTATGTCAGGTGAGGTTGGCAAGGAGAAATTTGGTTTGATGAACATTTTAGCATCAAACCAAGCATGCTCTAGGTAAACATGCTGAGTGAAGTCCATATTACCGCCCTAAGCCTGTCTTGGGGTTCCTTTTACAACCTGAATTTTGCTTTGGTTCAAATTACAGCCTCGAACTCTGAAAACCATTCATGATGACACCCTCACAAGAATTGATCTTGTTTACTCCTGTTTCTCTGCAACGCCGTCAGTTTTCTCATCTCTTAGCCACGTAGTCTATCTAGTTAGCTAGTCCTAGTCCATACGTAAGGTCACCCAACAAAACAATTCCCAGATACAATTCTATTCACACGTCCTGTGCAGAGACACACGCTGACCGCCTTCTATTCACAGTTTCACACCATGCAGAGGACCGGCAGCACCGCTAGGCTATGCCTCCTGCTCCTCCGCCGCCAGGGTAGGCAGCCGCCACTCGACACCAGCTGCAGGCGGCTCTATTTTGTTTAATCAAGCAAGGGCATTTTATGCATAAAAGACACCCGACGGTGCCAAAGCAATCATGGGCAAAGACCCACATCACCAAAGCAGGGCCCAGTTCAAGTTAGGATGTAACTGTAACTCCTCCCCGCAAAAAAAAAAGATCTAACTCTGACCCTCGATAACAATATCTGTGAATCATTCAATTAGCAGATAGTCCAAGCCAGGTACATGCCCATAATTACCATGCTAGAACCTATCTGATGCAGGTGATGGTTAGGATACAAGAGATGAGAACTCAGATGGACAAGTGGGCCGCTAGTGTCATCATTTGCCCTGACATAACAAAGGAACTAAAAAAGAGCATAAACCAGTACGCATACTGCCATGCAATATGTAATGGCAATGATTCTTATGAAGTTAAACTTGGAGAGCATAGGCTTACTGTTAAAATTAAAAAGAGGGCGTGTAGGACGTGTAGCTACAGGTATTGACAACTTTCTAGGCTTCCTTGTTCACATGCTATAGCTTGCATATATTTCCATACAAATAACCTTGATGATTATATTAGAAAGTGCTAACATCTTGAGGAGTTCAGAAAAAACTACGAGCACTACCTTCAGCGCGTGGAAGGATGCCTGCATGGCCAATTTCAAAGACCTACGACATTGGCACCTTAGGCACATTGATATGCCTGGCAGAAAGAAGTCGAGGACAACAGAACCAGATGAGAAGCCAGGGAGCAGCAGAGTTAGCAGATCTGGTACGACCATCCGGTGTGGGAAATGCAACCAAATAGGACATTATAGAACGTCTTCTGAGAGGAAGAATGGAGGCACAGCTTAATGTGGTGAGCTTTCATTATTTAAAAAATATGAATTATAAAAATTATTAGATGCATTATGTGCAACCTTCACAGAAGGAGCAATCAGCTGCACCATCCACACTCTCCTGGGCTACACCTAATGTTGGTGAGTTCACAATATTCTTTAATTCACATTCTTGTATTATTATGAATTACAATATTTGTAACATGTATTAAGTATGGCCTCGGCCTGCACCATCCACACGTCCCCAGGCTGCAACATCCGCACAACCACGAGTTTCAACTTCCATGGTAAGCTCACACTCTCTTCACTGAATTTGAACTCTTGCAGCTAAACTTGTTATCTCAACTTGACCAATATTTTTCTAGCCTTACCAAGCAAGGCAGCTAGTGGAAAGGGACAATCCGGACCATCAACTTCAAAGAGGGCGTCTAACAAGGGTACCCATAACAAAACCTCGGGAAATATTGTGAATGCACATGGTTTGGTGCAAGGGTCTCAAACAAGATCAAGTATTACTTCGCATGTGTCATCTAGAAATGCTACAGCACAATCAACAAACCAACCTGCTGGGAGAAAGGAAGAGCACGGAAGGCTAGGCAGACTTTTTGACTATAGATGGTCTCTAATTGATAGTTACGCCATTCGTGAACTTCTCATGCTTTAGTGTTGTGATATACCAAAACATTGGCTATTGTCGAACTATGTTCCATTGGTGTTGCTGCATGCTGAACTCCTGGCTCTACATTGTGAACCATATGGACCATGTATGCGCAATTTGTTGCTTTCTTCCATTGATGTGAGACCATGAAGACCTTGTGAACATTATGGACCATGCTTTTTGTTAAGATTTTGGATGATGAATTAGAATGTGACTAATATGGATATTGAGATATGGTTCCTGTTATGTCGAAGTACTGCCCAAAAACCTACAACATACTAATGCTGTGCTGTCGAAATGCTCAAATCTAGAATAAATCTTGAAAACGAAAAAAAAAAACTACACAAAAAAACTGAAATAACTCCAGTAAATCAAGAATGATTCAATTACAATTCTGGTATAATTAATTAATTTCAGCTGAAACTGGCTTATGGTTTGAAAGAAACTTGCTGTTTTAGTTTTATATTCCATTTTTGGGTTCAAATTCAAACTACACAGAAAAAAAAAATGAAAAATTTCCAGCAAATCAAGAATAATTCATTGAATATTCAGGTATACATGTTGGAAAACTACCAGTAAATCAGAAATAATGTAGTGAACAACCTGCTGGAATTTCAGCTAAAATGGACATTACATTCGACAGAGACCATGCTATTTTTGTTTGAGCTACAAGGAGAGAGAAATGATGACATGGCAGAGATGAGATGGAAAATAATGACGTGGCAGAGGGGGAGGGGAGTAATATGGACTTTTAACATGATGTGTGTTTCAAGTGGCATTTGGGTTAATAGATCAACCAAATTGAGTTCTAGAATATCATAAAAATGAAGAATAATGCCTTCATATGAAATTCCAGCATATCATTTGCCCAAATGAACCCATGCTCAGTATAATCATTTTTTGCAGTCTGCATGATAAATGTACAAGGTGCCCTATAACAAAGGGCATGCTTGATTTGCTACCAAACTTTGGATTGCTAATATAAGAAAAATTCCAGCAGATCATTTGCCCAAATGAACGCATATTCAGTACAATCATTTTTTGCAGCCGGCATTACAAATGTACTAGGTGCCCTATCACAAAGGGTATGCTCGGTTTGCTACCAATATTTGGCTGGCAAGCCAAAACTTGCCAAAACTTGGCAACGTTATGTGAAATTAGCAAGACAACGAACTAATTAGGCATCAAACCAAACATGCTCAAAATCATTTAACCCTCCACACATTTTATGAGAAAAAATGAGATACTCCCTCCGATCCAAATTAATTGTCGCAGCTCTAGTACATCTATATGCATTCTGAACACATCAATATCTATGACCAATATAAGATAAATAGTACCAAAAAGCATTCTAGTAAGGGTCGCGTGTACAACAAGGAGAAAACTGCAAAGAAAAAGGGGTACAAAAGACAGTTATAAACCAAAAAAACAAGTGGGTCAAAAAACCAAGGATTGTTTCAGTACCTGTTCACGTAAAGTCACGAACTTGAGGAAGTGCTCTTGAAAAAGCCTCTCATCACACTCGGTCTGGACAAACAAATCAACCTACACATACAGAGGATTACATATACCAACAATTCCAAACATCTGAGGGGACGGTGTATGAAGATTTACTAAAAAATGCAATCAAATGATCCGTGCATACAGGCGAATTGCATGCAGCAACCAGTTCTTCTGCTGCGAGCTTGAATGCATGCTCACGGAATTTCAAATATTCTTGAAATCCCTGCTCTGTGCGGAGCTTCTGAAGCATACTAAAATCAGCAAACAAGCCAGTTCCATGTGCGAGTAACGACACGCCACCCACAGAAAACGACCCTCCAATATCACTCAACCCGTGCCGGTCCGCCCCTTCTGTTGCATAAGAAGCACAACACAACACACCAATTCAAAAAAAGAAACAATTTTCTCACGATAAAGAGAAATGAATCAATTCGACCAATCAAAATTAACAAATTGGAGTGGGCAAGGAAAGGAGCTATTGGGGATTTACCATCTGATGCAAAACCCTGTAGACCAGCCATCCTCTGTTGCCACTCCTCCGAATCGTCCCCGAGCCGAGCCGGCGGGTGATGCCGGTCACCTAACACTGGTTCCCGAGCTGGCGCCCTTCACGTGCCTAATTTGGCCGGCGAGGGGGTGAATGGGCGGTGGAGGATTGGATTCGGGGCGCCGGGGGTTTGTAGGAGCTAGGGTTAGGGCTTCGGTGCCTTTTGTCTTTTTCTAGTATAAATATCTGGTGACTGTCTTTTGGTTCACGAGAACACAACTGCGCCTACATACACGGACGGGGCCAGGATTTTGAGGGCGACGTTTCACGCAGAAACCATATATTTGAAATCATATCACGATCTCACCTGGTCCTGAAAAAATTTCACATAACAGACCGTTTTGTGTGGCGTCCGGCATCCGAGCGCTGCATTACTATGCAGCGCCTTTGCATCAGGCGTCGCACGCCTGGCCAGCATGGCAGCCTGGGGCCAGGTGCGGCCCCACAGCCAGCCGTGCCGCGCCTAAGCGCTAGGCGCCACACTTATAATATGCAGCGTCCGTCCCTTAGATATTGCACAGTCTGTTTGTCACTTAGGCTGGCCCCACTCTCTCTCCCCTCCCACCCCCACCCCACACACCCCCACCCAAACCCTTAGCCTTGCGGCCCTCCTCTCTTCCCCTCTCCCCCCTCTCAAATCCTTCTCAAATCTTGCAAATCTGAAGTATTTGACCGTGGATTTCGAAGCCAACCCCTCCCTTAAGATAATCTCCTCTGATCCCCTCGTTTTCGTCCATAGGAATTATCACATCTGTTCAAATCTTGCTAGTCTGGAAAAATCCTAGTTTTGGCTTGGATTTGGAAATTTGTGTTGATGTTGGTGTTAGGATTATGGTTAGGCTTCATACTATGCTAGGGTTAAGGTTATGTGTGTTTGATGTTGGTGATAGGGTTATGGTATGGTTAGGGTTGTGGTTATTGTTAAGTGGGGGTTAGGCTTATTGTTTCATATATATGCTGGGCTTATGTATTTTGTGCAAATTTTTTGTTAAGTACTTACTTGATATATGTGTGTTTTTTATTATCGTAGGGGTGGGAAGAATATGTGTTTATGTTCATCATGTAGATAAAGAGGCCTTTTGAAAGGCAATGTTGAGCCGGACCCGAACGAGCTTGACATGGTGTTTGAGAGTAGTCCTAGCTATGCGGATGTCTTGAAACAAGTGAGGAAGGATTTGAATTAGATGGACCCAAGTGACGTTGTTGAGTTCGAGGGAAGGCATAATGTTGGTTTTGGAATGCACATCCGTTGGAAGACAATGCGTGTGAAGTCGGAGCAACGTTGGGTTGCATACAAGGAAACGGGTGCAGAATCTCTAGACAAGGCTCTTGAGTTATTTGCCTCCAAAAAGGTTGAGTCTAGTTTGCATTTGGATTTGAACCGGAACCCTCCCCGTTGGTTGCTAATACTCCCCCACCTATGAACCAAGATCAAGTTAGTGAACCTTATTTGACGCAACAAGTTTGGCCAATGTTGGGCCCGATTTCAAACAACCAAAATGAAGCTTTTGAAGAGGACAATTATGAGTACGAGAAGGATGACAACGAAGTTGATCTCCATGACAACAATGTGGATGATCTCGAAAAATATCATGTGCAAGAGACAATGGACCAATCCATCCCTTTTTCTCGTGCATATGCATCGGATTCTGATGACGATGGTCCCGATGAAGAAGTTGATGAGGAGGGGTTCACGCCCAAGGAGGTCCAAGCATTTAGAAGCTATTCGGGCGGGATCACAAGACACCATTGTTCAAGGATCTTAGTCTCGCGGATGAAGCCGGTGTAGATGATGGCAAATGTATATCTCTTGGAGCTAGGCCAAGTTCTCACCGTGATTTGGAAGACGGCAAAAACGGGATATATCCTAGTTGTGAGTTTCAATCCTTCTTGGAATTGAAGATGTGGCTCGACCACTACTCGGTTATGCATTATCGTCCACATAAAGTGGCCAACTCGGACGTCAAAGTGCGTTACACGGTTAAATGTGAAGTGCCAAGATGTCCATGAATTGTGTGTGCAACGCCATGGAAAGGAGGTCCCACTTGGCGCATAGTGAGTTGTACGCCAAGTCACATGTGTCGACACAAGAATGCGGATGGCGAGCTTGTGTACCAACAACACAGACAACTCACGTCCGAGTTCATTGCTTACAGGTTATCGAACCAAATATCCACACTTCCAATAATGAGCATAAAGAGTGTCATTGACCTTGTGAAAGCCATCTTTCATTACAAGGTGAAGTACTGCAAGGCATGGAAGGCGAAGCAAGATGCATTCAAGATGTTGTATGGCAATTGTGAGGAAGCATACAACCGACTCCCTAGGTTGTTGTTAGCTATGGCCGCCACAAACCCAAGCATGGTTCACGTGGTTGAGCCTCATGGGCACCAAACATTGATTCACAGCGGGAGGACGTCCGAGTATTTGGCCATGCATTTTGGGCCTTTGAGCAATGCGTGAGGGCTTTTGAGCATTGTCGGCCTGTCATCGCCATTGATGGCACGTTCTTGACGGGACAATACAAGGGCACTTTATTGGTTGCTGTAACACCCCTAGTGTCACGCTACAGTAATCCCTTATTAATGGTGCCATGTCATCACATTACTATTGCTAATCGTCACTTGATCCAAATCACCATTCAAATTCAAATCCAATCTAAAGTCAAAAAGAAAAAAAATCATATTTGTCAGACATGAAATCTGAAATATTCATCTTGTGCCAAATAATCCCATAACTAATATTGGTACTGAACCAACATTTTCACAAAGTGTTTAAGTGCACTAAATTAGCTAAAACAGTGCTTATAACATTTGTTTAAATGCTTTTTAATTTGTAAAAATGCTAACCTGTTTTATTTAAGTGCTAAACTAATTGTGGCGGTAGCCTAAAACATGATGATATTTTAGGTGTAAGTTTTATAATTTATAAAATTGTTTTGGTTCTGAAAAGTTTTGGAAACAGAAAGTTTAAAAGGAAAAGAAAACTAATAGAGAAAACAAAAGTGAGAGAGAGACAGCACCCCCCTGGACCTAACCCACCTGGGCCGGCCCACCTAACCCACCCAAGCCAGCCTAGATCCACCCTGCCCGTCCCCTTCCCTATTCCCCCAACTGGGGTTGGAATAGGGGCGTAGCCCCGCCGAACCCACTCGTCGTCGTCGGCGAGGGAATAAGGCCTCCACGCCCCTGGACGCCTTGAGTCCTTCCCCTCACCTACCCCCACT